AGGGAAGGAAGGAGTGAGGAAGGGAGGTAGGGAAGGAAGGAAGGAGAGGAAAGAAGGAAGAAGGGAGGGAGAGAAGGAAGGAAGGAGGGAGGGAAGGAAGGAGAGGAAAGAAGGAAGCAAGGAGGAAGGAAGAGAAAGAACAAAGGAAGGAAGGAAGGAAGGAAGAAAGAAGGGAGGGAGGGAGAGAACAAATAAAGGGAGGGAAGGAGGGAGGGAAGGAAGGAGTGAGGAAGGGAGGTAGGGAAGGAAGGAAGGAGAGGAAAGAAGGAAGCAAGGAGGAAGGAAGAGAAAGAACAAAGGAAGGAAGGAAGGAAGGAAGAAAGAAGGGAGGGAGGGAGAGAACAAATAAAGGGAGGGAAGGAGGGAGGGAAGGAAGGCGTGAGGAAGGGAGGTAGGGAAGGAAGGAAGGAGAGGAAAGAAGGAAGAAAGAAAGAAGGGAGGGAGGAACAAATAAAGGAAGGGAAGGAGGGAGGGAAGGAAGGAAGGAAGAAGGGAGAGGGGAAGGAAGGAGGGACGAAGGGAGGAAGGGAAGGAAGGAAGGAAGGAGAGGAAGGAAGGAAGGAGAGGAAGGAAGGAGAGGAAGGAAGGAAGGAGAGGAAGAAAAGGAATGAGGGAGGGAGAGAAAGAACAAAGGAAGGAGAGGAAAGGAAGGTTGGAGGGAGGAAGGAAAAAAAGAAAAAGAAAAAGAAAGGAAGGAAGGGAAGAGAAAGAGGGAGGGAGGAACACCGAGAAAGGGAGACAAAGACAGATAGGGTGGGAGAGAAAGAAAAAGAAAATGGAAGGAAGAAAGGAGGGCGGGAGGGACGGAAGGAGAGGAAAGAAAAGAAGAGAAGGGAAGAAGGGAGGGAGGGAAGGAGGAAGGAAGATGGATGGGTGGAAGGAAAGGAGGGGAGGAAGGAAGACTGAGAGACAAAGACTAAGAAAGAAAAGGTGGGATAGAAAGAGAAAAAGAAAGAGAGAGAGAGAGACAAAAAGAATGGAAAGGGGAAAGAAGGAAAGGAAAGGAAGTAAATGGATGAATAATGGAAGGGATGCCAATCCCTGCCAAAGATTATCTGTGTGACACACTCACTCACCGGATTCGTTGATCAGATCGGGGTTCCCCAGCGTCAGAGTGGCAGTATAATCATCCCCCCGATATTCCGTATCAAACTGCCAAGTGGTGAATTTGGCCTGTTGAGTCTAGAACAGGGCGAATCAGTCAGGAATTGCCTTTTTAACAAAGAAATCCTAGTCTACACTTCACATCCTGAGCCCTTCGCAGTAAGTACCAAGGACAGAGAGAAAGAAAAAACAGGAATGCCGTAGGATAGAAGAACGAGGCGGGGGAAAAAAGGCACACTTGAAAGAAATCTAGCATTTCAAGGGAGACTCTAACTTTCTACCTGCGGGGAAATTCCTCCTTTCAAAATCTGGACCTGAGCTGCCATCTTTCAAAATCACTATCCCCAATTGTATATATATTTATTCCATCATCCAAAGGCGGCTCAGGGGCTAAGACGCTGAGCTTGTCGATCGGAAAGCTCGGTTTCGAATTCCCGACAGACGCTCAGGGAGAGAAACCGCCGTTACCTGGAAAACCGCTTTGGTTCGTATCCGCTCCGCTAGAAGATGGAGGACTTGGGCGCTGAGGCTCCCGACGTTGCTGATATCGCCAATAAGGGTGGGAAAAGTCTAGGAAAAAGAACCAGGGGGATTAAAAAAAAAGGATTGAATGAATCTTCTCTCTATATAAAAATGGCTGTGTATGTGTATGCATCTGTGTGTCCCCCAGCGTAACTCTGGACCGCCTGGAGCAATTTCAAGCAAACTTGGAACACAGATGACTTACTCTCTGGAAACTAATACTGTGGGGGTAAGACACCCCTAACGCTTCTCGGGGTGTGTGTTCTGTTAAGATACAGCCTGTTGTGCCTTTAAATGACTTCTACCGTACTGCCTTAAAATGGCTTCTACTGTACAGCACAGTGGAGTTACCATGGTAACGGCTTCACAGTACATAACAAGGGGGCTCCCTCTGGTAAGGGGGAAAATCCAACATTAAAATTTTTGTTTGGTCCAGATATTTCCCCACTATAAATAAATATCTGGGCAATGCCGGGTTATCAAGTAGTTAAAAAAATAAAACGGACAGAAACTCTCTTTCAAAGCTTATAATTTTGGCCGAAATTTCACTGCATTTCCAAGAAACTTTTCAATTATTAATCCTTCTTCCATGATCTGTTTATTGCTTGATTTCTGGTAAAAGGAAAATAACATTTCTGCCCATTCTAGGAAAATGGGCTTTTTAAAAAAAGAAAAAATAAACATGTAATTTTATTTGAATTGAATTATTTTAAAACTTTAAATATTTAGGTTTTAAATTTTTTTTTAAACAAATGACTCAAGATAGTGGACAAAACTGATACTGCTTTCTCTTCCTATTTTCTCCCACAACGACAGCCCTGCGAGGTTGGGTTGGGATAAGAGGGAGGGACTGGCCTAAAGCCACTCAATGGGCTAAGGCGGGACTAGAATTCACCGTCTCCTGGTGATTGGTCCAAAGTGACGCAGCTGACTTTTACGCCTAAGGTGGGACTAGAATTCACTGCCACCTTGTGATTGGCCCAAAGTCACCAGTCACCTTCATACCTAAGGCGGGACTAGAACTCACCGTCTCCTAGTGATTGGCCCAAAATCACCCAGACTGCTTTCATGCCTAAGGCGGGACTAGAACTCACCGTCTCCTGGTGATTGGCCCAAAGACACCAGCCGCCTTCATACCTAAGGCGGGACTAGAACTCACCATCTCCTGGTGATTGGCCCAAAGTCACCAGCCACCTTCATGCCTAAGGCGGGACTAGAACTCACCGTCTCCTGGTGATTGGCCCAAAGACACCAGCCGCCTTCATACGTAAGGCGGGACTGGAACTCGCCGTCTCCTGGTGATTGGCCCAAAGTCACCAGCCACCTTTATACCTAAGGCGGGACTAGAACTCACCGTCTTCTGGTGATTGGCCCAAAGTCACCAGCCACCTTTATACATAAGGCGGGACTAGAACTCACCGTCTCCTGGTGATTGGCCCAAAGACACCAGCCACCTTCATACCTAA